TCCCAAGCCGAAGTCAAGGTCCTTCGTCCTCGACACCTTGCATCGAGGTCCTTTGTTCGCATTCATCAACAGGGAGGGAACTACAAATCTTCGGCTGACGCTAGGTAAATTCACCGAACGCTTTCTTCTCGCATCGTTGCTTTTTCTTCTTCGAAATCCTAGATTACAAATGTCTTCTTCCTCGCCGTTTTAGTGTTTGTTGAGGTTAACTTTGTTGAGTATTTATTATGGTTATTGCTCATCCCTGATGTTTTGAATGATGGCCAATATTTTCTGCTTTTTTTTTGTAAGGCATTTTTCCAAATTCTTGAGAAGGAAATGAGAATTATGGACTGTTTGGTTGCAAGCAAAAAGAACATCTTTAATTCCTATAGGTTCTTAGGTTCTTAAGCCAAGTTTTTTTTCTATTTTAGCTTCAATGCAGGATTTGGATAATCCATCATCAAAGGCAACTTTCTTGTAGTCATTCAGAGATCCACTCAACCAACTTTCTTAAATAATTCTCAAGCAGAGGAGATATAACACCTTTGACAACCCATTTGTTTAAGGGCAACCATGGTTTCCATGAGCAAAGTTGAAGTGAACTTGTTGATCGATTTATGTTGTTAGCCAAAATTGAAGTTTAGGTGTTAGATTTGCAAATCTTGGACAATATTTGTTAAACACTCTTTTAAACATCGACTATTTAATAAAAGTTCGTATGCATTTCCTTTTGTTTTTTTTAAATTTCTGGATCTGACAATTGGTTCCTTTTTTTTGGGTTTCTATTTCTGTGCTATCTATTTTTTTCATATGCACTCTATGTTATTTTTTTGAACTGATCTGCAATGATTTGCGGGTTCTGTTTTATCTATTTCTGTATTCATACAGTTCTGTTGCAAACAACTTAACCAAACATGGGCAGAATGATCGTTTATCTAACAACAACTGTCAGTAAGCTGTTCTGAATAAGCTGCCCCAAACAACGTGACAGCTTATTCTGGTAATCTGCAGATTATCAGAATAATCTGGTGTTATTTTGACCCCCAATTAATGAACTAAAGTAAAAGGGCACTTTTGTAATCACCTACCACATCTCACCTACCGTTCACCTACCTCCCACCTACCGCCCACCTACCTCCCACCAACCACTCTCTTGCTTCTATAAATAGAGAGGGTATGAGGCTTAGGAGAGCAAGGGAAGAGATCTTAAGGGTGTGAGGCTTAGGAGAGGAAAGGGAGAAGAGATCTTAAGCTACCACAAAGGAGGAGAGAATAACTATAGAGTTAGAGGAGGAGAGCATCTTGAGGCCTTGTATCAAGGTGTCGCTTGAGAGGGAGGCCATAGAAGGAAGATGAGGGCTCATCTCTATGTATAAGTTATGTATTCTCCATTTCTTTTGCCTTAGTGAAATATTTGATTGATTCCCTCCCGTGGACGTAGATCCAGTTGGATCGAACCACGTAAACGATCTGTGTTTGCTTGTGTTCTTTTTCGTCTCATTTCTATGCCAGGAAGTACATATCATGAACAGAGGAGCAAGCGGATCGTGTCGCAGGTAGCCCAATCGCGACAGATTCGGTGAGCAGTGAAAGCTTTGATCGACTGGATTCAAACCGCAGGTTGTGCGGTTGGGCAAGAAGGAGGAACAGTCATCGAGCGAGGGTCGAAAATTTGCGACAAGACTGCCAGCAGAGGATTTCGGTCTTGCGAGCAGCTCGGCCAGAGGGAAGAGGTGGAGATTGCGCAGAGAAGGGTTCGGGGAGTTCCCTGTTCGAGAGTTTGCGAAGAAGGAGGACCTGAGCAGTTTGGCGAGACGCAACGACTCTAGAGAGGCAGTTATTCTCGTGTGAGAGGCAGAGGAGGAATTCTTGATTTGTTCCGTTGGACGCAGAGGAGTGCCTGTGGGAAGGAGGCGCGAGAACAGAACATGAAGTTTTCTCCGGTGAACAGGTGTGATCACTGTCAGAAGGGATCGGAGCTTTCCGTTCGGTTGACGAAGGCAGTGGAGTTCACGGGGAGAAGGTAAGAAATTTGGTGAGAATTTCTTGGATAGCAAGGCGTTAAAAGTTCTTGGAAGGGCAGCAG